ATAAACTGAAAATCATTTCCAAGTGAGACAAGGTGATAGATGAGGTCACCATGCAGGTGCTTACTGAGCTTTACTGCTGACCTTTGACTTCAAAGCTGTGAAGGTATGTAAGAGGGAATGAGTTGATAAGTTGGGGAACACAATGTCACTTGATAAATTTGCCATGTCTGGTACTGAGTTGTTAAAAAAAAATGAATAATCATGCAAGTATTTAGAAATCAGCTTTGTGCACAAATTGCTTCAACTATCACACAAGGCCAACTGTTTCAACTTCACATGAATTAGGAAGCTTAAACGGATACATAGTTGAGCCTTTATATGCAAATTAATGCTAATTTCTAACATTCTTTTAAAAGTCAAAAGCAAAGGAAGTTAGAACTAATGAAAAAGTTGTATCATAGAAATTATCTGACATGGCAGGTAGAAGTTCTATAAAATTTTGTATAAGTTTTAAGTAACTTTTAGACTAAAAATTGGTAAAATTCACAAATCTTTATTATGTGAAATTAGTGAAGTCTTTTATAGGTCACTACTATTCAATCAATAAGAATATAAGTCATCCCCTTAAAACAAAACAGCGCTCTATTTACTTTTTTTAATTTGATAGTGAGAAAGAATAACACAGTTTTTGTCTCAGATCCTTTGAATTTGAGTTGAGCAAGTGCATGAAACAAAAATACTTATGATTTTAAAAGAATGAAAATGTTTTAAAAATGAATGAGCAGTCTGGCATAAGATAGAAAAGTTATCAAATTTTTTTTTTTCACAGTATCAGATTTGGCAAATTTGCATCAAGGTAACATAGCAAATATCTTCTAATTCAAACCATCAACTCATGTGTCTTCCCTGCCCCCCCTCCTCTTTCCTCACACACTGGGCGGAGCGGCATGCATTCACTTCTCTCAGAGGGAGGAGCTGATTTTACGAGACACTTGACTAAATGACCATGAAGGAAAATAAGGCACTTTCTTTTCTTTAGACTTATTCCAATACTTAAAAAATAAAAAAGAAAGACAAAAAGGCTCTTTTGGTCTTTTGTTTCTTGACAACCACCAGAAAAAAATCATTTAATGAAATAAAGGGTTTCTTTGTTCTTTTTTTCTTTTTTTTTATAACACTTGAAAGTATAAAATGCTACATTTCCAAAAATATATATTTTTTTCTGCACCAGCACCCTTGTATAGTAAAAGTATCTACTTTTTTTGTTCATTTGTTTCAATGCACTACACTTTTATCTACAATTTCATTACATGTATACAGCAAATAGGCAAGCATGGCTTTTACATCCTTAATGATTTTTCTATACAGGGAGGTTTAAAAAAAATATTTGAACAGTTTGCCCAGTAATGTGACACATAATGCATGTACCTTGTTCTCATATAATCTTTTAAGGAGGTGTAAAATACAGGCTCGATAATTTTAACTCAGATTTTTTTTTTCTTTTTTAAAAAATAGTGTTGCAGTTTTGTTCTTTGCATTAGTTTTCAAAATTCCTTGTTAATTTTTCTTTCATGGCACACTTTCTTTTACTACATCAAATTTGGCAAGCAATATAAAAAAAGGCTGCAACTTCTGCCCTTTGAGGGCACTGTAGTGACTAAACAGCATGTCAAATTTTGAATACTTTTTGAAATCACTTCACCAATGACATCCCTGACCAAAGGTTCATGCATGATGCATCATCGCACAGTACATTCAGAGAGAGAGAGGGAGAGAGAGAGAGCTTTGACTTCCCTATGAGAAGAAAAGGATTCCTAGAAGTCTCTCACAGTAACTGCCTCTGTCATCGGGTAGTTAAGGGCCATTTGTTGTCATTTCTTAAGAGAGGCCTTCTTACCGTTCGTTTAGGGCGGAACGCTAAAGGATGATCAGTGCTGAGGGATGGATTGGACCTTATTGCTTTACTACTATTCAGTGCAGGTTCTACAACCACTTTCACCCAAACAGGGGGGAAAAAAGCGGAGTTGGAGGACAACAATTTCTTTGTCTTTTGTTTGGTTAGATGGTAAGACGAACGGACAAGTGCCTCAGCTCGCTGCACTGATGACAGGCAAGCAAAGGCGATTACCAGTTAACTGATCAGCAGGCAGGCATGGTCAGGTCATCATTGGGTGAAGAGTTCAGAGGTCAGAAGGTCATAGGTTAGTTGCCGGTGGCGGCTGGGTGGTTAGAAACAAAAAACAAAACAAAAAAAAGAAAGAAAGATAGAGAAGAGATTAGTTTCAGCTAGTGACGGCTTAATGACAACATGAAAAACTAATCACAACTAATTAAAAAAAAAAAAACAAGCATGTTTAATTCTGACAAACTGATCGACACCATCTACAGAATGCAATAAAATCATGACCATCTTATATCATGATTTGAACATATGAAGGAGAGCCCACTCCCACAAAACTGGTTAACAGGAGAAAATAGAAATAAAATACAACTAACAACTAATGGTTAGTAGCAGTCAATGAAGGAAATTGAAAAACAAAAACAATGAATAGGTTTTGGAACTTGGTAAAAGAATTTTGAAACAGTCAGTGCAGTTATCAGTGTCTGACTGCTATTAAGCATTAGTACTTTCCCAGGTGCAAGCATTAAAGCGACTATTAATGATGGATGTGATTATTAATAACTGGTGGTTAAAAGAAATGAATTTAAAGAATTTAAAATTTCTATAAACATTTTAAACATAAACTCTGGGCCAAACAAGGTTTCTTTTGTTCAATAAAATTTTTATTGCTTTTCAATTATTCTATTTACAAACAACATGGAAATCCTTGGCCTCATGATACAAAGCAGTACTAAACTGTAGTCTAGCAGTGTAGCATCATCATGGGAACCAGGAAAAGGCCAAGCCTTGTGCTCAAGCCAGTTCTTTCCAGTTGAAAATACTATTTTACACATATAGAACACTTATAAAATGCACTTGCATGTAAACACTGTAAAGTCCTGCCATTTAAAATTCTATACTTAAAAAGCTCTAGATACATCAAAAAATAGAGAAAATTTCTAATTGATACTAATATGGCATTTTAAAACTACAAACAGCTCTCTTTATTCAATTTCAAAGCTAATACTCTGCAAATACAATAGAATCTGACATTTCATATACATTCCTGCTTTATATTTTTATATTTTAAAAGAAGCCACCTGTAAATACTATTTTCTTTTGCAAAATAACAAAACAAAAACAAAATTACAGTAAAACATAAAAAAATTCTCAAGTGGAAAAGTTATCATTCCCAATGTCCTTTAGTTCTTCCTTCCTTAATCATCCTCTATCACATTCTGCTTCAACAAACTTGGTCCACTTTAACAGTAGTATGATTTTATTTTAAGACTTATTCAACAGCTTAATTAAAATCTAACAAATTCTGAGGTTTGATAGAGTATTTTGTACTGTTGCCATTATGACTAAGGCAGAGGAGATGAAAGTGAGAAATATATTCAGTGCAAAGTCAGATCTGTGCCATTTTATAAAATGAAATCCAGTAGGTATAATGTTCACAGATAACAAGAGTTTAAATGACCTAAATAATGGGCTGATTTACCTTCATATAATTAAAATGGTTTCTATGGTCTACCATTTAGGATACAATTTATAAACATTAAAATCATTATGCTAACTTCAATGTGACCACATCTTCCCTGAAGTTCTTCAAAATTCTGTTACTTGGGATTTTGTTTAAATTAAAAACGGCTGTTCCAAGAACAAAGAAAAAATAAATATTTAACGTGGCACAATTTTACCACTTTACAGAGATTCTAGAAATACAGAATCTTAAAGCATTGCTTGATACAGATTATAATTTTGATTAAATGGTATTACATTTTATATAAATTAAGAGAATGAAAATTTCTGCAAAAACATCAGAAAGTTCTTGGCATTATATTTTGTGGAGTATATAACCAAAACAAGCTACCAATTAATGACACCAGTACACCTGGGATACATCCTCTGCCAAGTCCCTGGCCTTCTACAGTACACACAGGTTTATCAAGTGTGCAACACCATTTACAATTCATTACAATTAAAAGTCAGTCGGCCTGTTACAGGAATCAAATTCAGTTTTGTTTTATTTATAGTTGGGTCTTATTCTTAGTAAAATTGTACTAGTCAAACCTCCACTAATTCCAAAAGGCATGCTTATAAGGATAATACAGTTTGACATGTCCAAGGGCTGAGTTTCTTTGCATTATATGTAATGCTTATACTACACCTCTAAACCTATACATTGGATTAAAAACAAAAGAACAAAAAAAAACCAAACAATCCAGTAGTATCATAAAATAATTTGAGTTATTTTAGATATAATCCTTAGACCCAATGACTGACATGTTTGTAGTGAGTGACACAACAGTGGTGTACAAGTATTGCTATTAAATATTAGTATTTCGGTTTGCTGACATTGCATTGTGAATTAAATCAGTAACAAAACTAATCAACACATATATAATTACAAAACAGCTATACATGGAATGTATTGACAATTCCCAAATAACATTGTAATTTTCCTTTAATCTGCTCATTAACCACCTCTAGGTTCAGGAATATCATGTATGCCAGCACTGTTTCAAAATACAAGTATAAGAAAAAAAATTTGGAAATAGTGTTCTTACAGTTGAAAAACTATTTTAAAAAATATTTTATATGCTACATGAAATGTTTCCTAACAATAAGAATAAAGCTCCAAAACAGTCAAACTATCTATTTTCTTTGAAGAGAAAAATAAAGGTCACACTATGTTTTTCCACAGAAAGCCTTGTTTCGATGTAAGCAGACGTGTGTGCAAGGTTTTTTAAAATTATTACACACTTTATAGGAAAATGACCTCTAGTTACCTTCATGGATGGTCAGTTCACTACTGAGATCTTGATGCATTTCTCTTATGACATGATTATGTGTAACTTGTATACAAGGCCCGTTTAAGTATAAGAGGCTAAATAAATATTATTACTATTTATCTTTGGAAAATCATACTATTCTGGTATGGACAATGACTCTGTCCAAGTTAGTGGAATACATTACAGAATGGATGGTGACCATGTAAGGCAGGTAGGTCTTCGTAAGTTCACAGATGACAAAACTGGAGTGTAGGCCCTGTCCCTGTTTGCCACTGATAAGAAAGACTTATCAATGACCAACTGAATTGTTAGGCAGCAAATGTGTCCCATCTGAGAAGCCCGAAGAAAATGGTTTTCCTATCTTGTTTGGGAATCTTATTTTGTAGTGAGAAAGCCTTTAGAAAACAATCCAATGTCAATAAACCGAAAACAACACTTCTCAATAAACTTTACAATTCATGCAAGGGTCCAAGGTTACCTATAGGTGGCAAATTATAATGGTGAAAAGGAGAAAAATGAAGACTTATTCTCCAAAGTTTAGTCAACAGGGACATCCAAATAACTGGATCTATTTTCACTGCAGAACTTCAAAAGTTATTTTACCTTCAGATAATGTATTTTAGCAGCAAATGATAGGTGACAAAGGATCCATTTTAGCAAGAGAATGAAAAAGTAAAAGAAAACTGCTTTTACTGATTCATATAAATCCAACTACCTTATATAGTAATCTTCACAGTCCTTACTTTGCTGACTTCAGTTAGGTACTCAACAAGCACTTCCCTCACGGTTATGCAGTGGCTTGAATAGTTTTATTACCAAAGGAAATAAAAACTAAATCTTCAGTTTTCTCCAGAAGTACTTGGGAGGAATAAGATCCTTTACTTCTCGCTCATTAAAGCACCCATCCATTTATTTTGCAACACCACACAGATACTTGAGTCAATGAAACCACGATTAAAAAAAAAATTGGTGTGTGTGTGTGTGTGTGTTTGTGTAAAAGGCAGTATCAAAATTTTAACAGGTCCAACTAAGGATGATTCCTTTATATACTGCTAGATACTATAAAACACTTCACATTAGATAGTCCTATATGATTCAGTATGTTTAAAGATGGGAGAAGCCAAAACAATTAAAAAATGTCTTTAAAATTACAAACGTTTTTAGATTTGTGGGGAAAGCAGATGTGCACAGAAAAAAAACCCACCATAACACTTCTCTGGCATGGTGTTGCAAATTTCATGTATACTCAACGCATTTCTTATACACAAGAACTGCATAACTAAACTAACCTCGGTCTGCGGTCACAATCCTTTGGTAAGGATGGACACGCATATCGTGCCTTCGAACTTTAGTAGCCACCGCACCTAGTTAAATTGCAATTACCAAGACAAAGTTAGAAGACATTCATTTAAAAAAAAAAGTAAAACAAAAAACACCACAAAAAAACCCAAGAAACAAAAACAAAAAAAACAAAAACAACCCCCCCCCAAAAAACACAAACAAACAAAACCACAACCCCAAAACAAACATTAACAGCAGGTTTATCAAAATGGATGTTCATTTACTACAAAAATTCATTTCAGGAAAGAAAGAAACAAGTTAAGGCACAGTAGCTTTAAAACTTAATTATAATATGTAGAATATATCTGTGTATACTAATATTGCATTCATTTCAAACATTCTGGCCTTAACCTGTTTTATCCATTCATTTATGATTCCCAAATTACAGTATTTCATGAAATCTATTAGACCCAAGCACATTTAAGCTTTACTAGTCACATATTCACTGAAGTGCCTTTCTTGGCGCAGGACTAATTAAATAATGCCATATTTAATACTGACAAGTATTTGCTAACCTTAAGACCACTTCCAGTTTCTACCACTTAGAAAAGTTTAAAAGCAATTCTTAAAGCCTACAGATTGTGGTTTTAAACTCTGAGTCAATAAGTATGAACTGCAATGAATTAGGTGATTAGTAAAGCAAACAGTATAGAACACTTAGCAGTCAGTTTACTACTATACACTCCTTTATAAATTACAGCTACTTTTTCATAGTACAGACTAAACCAAATTAATAAGCATAATTTTATTTTATATCTATGTGCAAAAAGTGCAAGTAAGTCACTGACTGCTAGGCTAAGCTTTTTTTTTTTCCTCCAAGGCTGCTGAAACTAAGCATTTGTTAAATTCAGATCAGATGAGGGTTCAGTTAAGACCGTTCTTGAATTTCTTAGCCTTTCGTTGGGAAAGCCATACCTAAAGATAAAAGGAAGGGAATTAAAAATTAGTCATCAATGAAGATCTGATGCGATGCTACTACCAATCTCCTCACTACCACCAACACACACGTCTGCATCTGTTTTGAAGGGCACTGCTTATTTTAAAGTATTTTAACATGAAAATTGACATACATGCATGTTATCTGTGTGCATATGGGTTAAAGACTCAGCAATGTTTTAAAAGTTTACTGGTTCTCTTCAATGTGTTTTACTGCTTAGACGGCAAAGTATGAACAAAAACAAGTAATTTCAAAATAACCTATATTTAAGTTTTCATTTAATATTTCATTTAATTCTTATTGAATCCTTACTCTTACTTACTGGATATATGCCAATCAGGTGAGAACATCTTTATCCAAAGTTAGCAATTTGTTTAAGTTTTGTTTACAGTGAAAACAACCACCAAAACAAAAAACCAACCCCAAACTCCTATCCCCCCTCCCAAAATAACATTCCCAAAGAACACTGCTCAATTTGCTAAATTCAGAAACACTATTTGCTACACTGTCCTTTGCTATTGCTAAGCAGTAAAATGTTTTGTTATAATTTCTTTACTTTAGATGACCTAGTCACATAAAAGTAGATTCTACATGAACTAATCATGCCTACCTTTCTTAACTGCTAGAACAATAGTGGGTGGCTAAGAGCTACACTCCTGCAGGAAAGCCCACATGAGCAAAGTTTTGGTTTTTTTTAAAAAATTAACAGATGCTGTGGGTGCCAGCAGAGAGGAGTTCTGGGTAGAAAAAGAGCATGCATGGGATTATAGGGCAAGATATTAATAAAAAGGTAAAACTTTAAAAGGGTTAAATGTTACAGGTTATTTTGAAAATGCTTCAAGAAATGTGCAATAGAAAATAAGCCTCTTATGAACAGCTCTGTGGTGTGATTCTAACCAGTGAGTTATTTTATACAATGTTTTAGTAATGAATGGAAAACACACGCATGATAAAAAAGTTTTCTAAAACAAAAGGCACATTTGTGCACATACACACAGATAACAGAGCATCTTGTCTTCACATATTTAGCAATAAATTTGTCTTAACAAGCTAATGACTTTGAATCTGAGTGTCCAGTGATCATTAGAGACTTTCAGAATTTGTAATCAATACTAATGCTGAAAAAAAAAAACTTTAAAGTTCAAATTCCTATAAATCAACAGCACGCATGCAGCACCATGGTCATATACAATTCAAGAAAGGAAAAAAAAAAAAAAACACCAGGAAAAATTATTCAGATTCTGTTTGGTAAAACAAAAGGGTTGCATTCAAAGAGTTTGTTCCACATTGACTGGTCGTGTTATAACGGCTGCTGTATTCTAGTCCTTCATCCAGCAAGTCAATGGGCTGAAATATCAGGCATGACTGGCATTTCAATCCACTCTATAAAAAAAAGGCATCAGTAATGTCTCTGAGCACACCACTTTTTGTTCATGTCTTGCAGTTTTTAACCAAGTGTAAATTACTACAGTTTTTATTTTTGCTTAAAAGTATCATTCAGGGGTCAATGACATAGTTTTTATTCAATTCTATATGGTACCACAGCAATTAAAAGCAGCATTTACTTTTCAGTGTTAGCAAGGACTTCATACAAGAGAGAAAGATCTATAAATCTTTTAGAAGAATGGAATATCTGATAATTATCAGATCATTCTTTAAAATATTAAAAAATAAATGTAAGACATCATAATAAAATGTTATAAAATACTTCCATTTTATAGTTTACAGAACTATATTAAAATATTTCCAAAGGAAATGATACGTAATGTAACTTAAATTTTAGAAAAAAATAAAAAAACAAACCAGCAATTCTAAAATTAGTTTGTTCAAAATGCATGTGATGTGATCAGTTTAAATAAAATATATAGAGTAATTTTGAAAAATTGTACTATAGTTATCCAAAAAGTAGAACTTAAATAGGATAGAGCTAAAAACTTAAGTCAATGTTCTTTTGTAATGGAACCTTTTAATGAATTCTTCATTTGACCTGTTATAACACTTTCAAAGTTACATGTTGGGAAAAAATGGAATACAGTCTTTTGTAAAGTGATCAAGAGCTAAGCTAATCAATTCAGGAGATAAACTTACCTAATACACCACTAGGTTCAATAGGATACTCAAGGATTGACGTAGCTGGTGCCAGTGTGTAAGGGTACTCGTAGGGTGTGTAAATTAAACCAGCCTCAGGTCCTGGAGGAACTATTGCAGCAGTTGGATGAGGAGTTCCGTTTGGCATGACAGCGGTCTGTATTTGTCTGATCAAAGGCATTATGGTAGGGCCAGCTGGCGTAGGAGTACGCAGGGCAGCTGGTGGGAGAACAGGCGCAGGCCCAGTAATAATCCTTGGGGCCTGGGCTGTTGCTGCAAGAGAAAAGGCAAGGGCTGCTACAGTAAGCAAAGAAATTTAGAAGGAAGTATAGAGACAGCAGTACAAAATATGGAAAGAATGAGGGGGAATGGGGAAAAGAAAGGAAAAAAGCAGGAAGGAAGAAAAATAAAAGGAAATCATTAGTACATGCGCTGATCACACAAAGTGCCAAAGCACACCAATCAAATGCACAAATAGCTTACCCTTTCCCAGTGAGATTAAGAATAAACATGCAAAAATAAAAAAGCCATCAAAAAGGTAAGCTAGACTAACAGGTTACAGAGCACAAAAGCTTCTTTTAGTTCACATATTTAATTTACCTATGCTTTTAAAGACTGCATGAGACTAAGATGCATGCAGGAGGGCAAAAGGAAACACTATTACATATTTAGAGTATGAAAAATATCTTGTAATTAAGAGTTTACAGAAATATAGTTATGTGTAAGTATTTGTAAATACCAGCCTAGGACTCAACTTGGAGAAAGACTGACTTTCTTCAGGTTGAAGTAAGCCAAGCTCTCAGTAGACAGATATAATTTCTAGCAGCTGCATTAGTTGATTACTTCTTACAGAAGTAATCTAAAAGGTCCTAATTGTGCTTCTATGAATATTATTCTAACCCTTTCAGAAGTAAATTCAAGTGAATTTTGTTGCAAACCAGAATTACTTTCAAACAGTTGTTAACTACACATTTTACTCATTTAATAGATTTCCCCCCCAGTTCTCCTTTTGCTTTGTCATATGAAACTATAAAACGTTGTGCATGTACTTAGCCTACATACCATCACTATGAAACTCAATGATCATTTTCAAATGAAAATTAAACATCCTTATAGCATGCTCAAATACATAAAAAGGAAAATGTGAATGAAAAGGTATCACAACCACTAATTTCTGTGAGCTCT